CTGAACCAGGGTTGTCTTCCCTGCACGTTGAGGCATAATTTTCTCTAGGGAAAACTGAGTAAAAATCCACTGGTTTAAATGAGTATAGCAAAGTACAATCCCAAAGCAAAAATGTTATACCTTACTATAACCTTGAAAAAAAATGCTTTGGATTAAACTACCTCACTATTAGCATACTGTACTAATGAAAATCTACTAATTAAGTATGAAAACAGAAGTGCACAGAAAATCCAGAGAGTAAACCTGGAATTTTCATGCCATATCGCCAAGCCATCTTTTGTCCTGAGAATATAACAGGAGTCACACAATCTTGATGTTAGGGGAGAGTGATCTCCCTAGAGAGTTCAGTCACTCTGGGCCTAAATTGTTTTTCATAAAACAAACAAAAAAATCTGCATGTTGTCAAATCTAAGAACAACTGCATTGTTTAATGTTTTACATGTAAAGCTACTTCACATATTGACTTGTCGTATTTTAGCTGACCAGTGTTCACGGAAGAATCTATTTCATTGTTTAAAAATAGGATATCCATCTAACTTCCTCTTTTTTTCCCTTCATGAACGTTCATATATGACGTGATCCAGAAGTCCACCAAAAGTCTCCCACTGATATCAATAGGTTTGAGTATCAATCATGACTGAATTCTAGAAGAATTCTTAAAGGAAAGAGAAAAATGGGATTTTTTTAAAAAATTTTATTATTAAGAAAAATCATTAAAATATAAATGAAACACAAGCACTCCACTATGAAAGATTGCATATGAAAAAAGACCTTAAAAAGATCCTCTGAAAACAGTCACTTCAAGTCAAATGTGAAATCTCAAGATACCCAGAAAGAAAGGGTTTTTAAATTTTATTTTCCATTTATTCATTCATGGACTTCTATTTAAAATAGGCTAGACAAAACAGCGAAGTCCAAGAACTTGTCATTCTATTTTTATTAAGCAACATCCAGTCCCTCAGCATGCCTGAACTCTGTCCTAGTTACTGCTTCCTGTTGGCAAAGTCAAGATCAGCATGAATATTGTCAGTAAGACTGAAAACGGGACTCATGATTCACAACAATGTTCACTTGACAGTTACCTCATTTATAATGATCCAGTGACAGTCAAAAGCCACCAAATTAGTCTCCACGACCTGAAATAGAGAACAAACCAGCTATCAGTCAGCTTGTTTGTGAAAGCCAGGAAAAAAACCCTAAATGACAAAAACTGAAGCGCAAGCTCTCAAAGACTTTTGTTACTCAGAGTACAGAGGACAGAAAACCTTTAGCAAAATTCTGCAGAAGCATTTGTGTTATTGTTTGACTTGCTAATTAAACTTGGAAAATACATTTCATTGTCATTATCACAGAAGAGAATATGTTTCAGTTGACTGAGGAGAAAACTAAATAGTTTTTGCCTTAATATTGTGTGTTGAGAGGGAGCAACAGAGGGGAAGGCAGAAAATGAGTGTCAAGTAACTCTTGTTAAATTTCTGCAGCTCCTGTTTCTAAGGCCTTTCCAGCGTACCCCTACCCTGGAAGTCTGTGAAATAAAACAAGACGAAACGCACCCAAACCACATAAACCCACATCATGAACACTGGGGTTCATAGAAATGCTAAAAGTGGTGATGAAAGGGTTCTCTTGAGAAAGAGGGCTGTCACAGAGACGATGAACAATGGCCTGTCCCAGGCTCCATGCACAGAGAGCCTCTAACCTCCCATCCATCCTCGCCTTTCCTTTGCTGGAAATTATTCCAGGATCTGCCTCCTCGCTAGACTGAAAACGTACTTCCTAACTCATCTTTCACTCAGCCCTATTCTTCTCCTCCTTGAATCCACTACACTTTTGTGGTGAGTCATGTTTCATTCACCTTCGTAGTGGAAATGAACAGGGGAAAAAATACATTTGATTTGCTTTCATTAGCTAGGAAAGAAATCATTGACAGGAGGGAGACCTGAAAGAAACTATAGAAAGGATTGAACACCTTTACATTTTTTTTTTTCTAAATGAAATTGGATTAGCCTTGACACTGAAATAGTTTTAAAACCAAATGAATCCCATTTTATTTGCATAATCACCATGATCATCTTGATTCACAATTCAGAACTACTGGATACATAAAATTGTGTTGAATACCAGAAGAAAAAAAGACAGACAAAAATTGAAACAAGGCTTGGAACTTACAGTGTTTTAACGTTCAAATAGATGACCAGTGCTGGGCTGTTATTACTTGGACCATTGCGCAGCGGTTATATTTGGCTTTTAATGATGATCAACACAAATAGCAGTTGCCAAGGATGACTGCAATTTATACTGTGCCATGACCAAAGGAGAACAGTTTAACTGGTCACAAATCTTAAGAGCAGCAAAAGACTCCGTACTGATAACCTTCATTATTAATTCAAAGACTATTAGAATTGGGGTCACTGCTTATTTTCTAGAATGATAGGCAAAATTGGAAATTCTGATCTGGAGAGAATGGAAAAAACCCCAAGAGTAGCAGTGTATGAACTGACTTCTTATTTGAAACTCTTACAGCACCAATAAGAAATGAGGGAAAATGAAAGCCATAGCTGCTAATATGCTCCTGGAAAAATTCAGCATTATTAGCAGTAGGAATCAAGGTCCTCACTTTATGTGGAATTTAGACTCACTACTCTTTCTCTGTGATGACAATAGCATATTTTTATCGTGCTGCTTTGACATTTTCTTGCATTCTCCACAGTAGGCGTCCACACGGCATAGATAAAGGAACAGAATAGAAACTGAATAACTAAGTGACGAGAGGTATCACAACAGGCCCAGCCAGGATGCTTGAACTGGAGCATGGCTGTTCTAATCGAATCTCTCATATCAAAACAGTTGGAAGACAAACAGATTCACAGAAATGTTAAAAATAGACAGAATAGTAACAAAGTTCTCAAGGAGGCAGTTGCTCCGTATGTAAGGTTTCCAAGCATAGAAAGTTTATGCCATCTACAACATAAGCAATGCCATTTAAATTTTCCATAAGACAAAACAAATCAACACCTTACTGAAGCAGAAACAATTCTGCCAGTCTAACTAAATAAATTTCTGCTGAAAACAAGTAGAATTTTTTTAAAAAACACCCACAACACAAACCAACAAAAAACCCACACAAGAAATAGACAAACAAAACCAAAACAAAAATAAAACAATCAGAACATCTGACATATTTTCTGGTTTCTTGTCAAGTTCCTAGTAACCTTGTCCCTCCTAACTTCTGGCTCTGGGATGTTCCACCCAAGTGTCCGCTCTGCCCTAACTGCTCTACTCAAGATGAGGTTTCTGTGGCTCTGAGGCAGCCTGCCAGAGGGACGCCCTTGGAGTCAAGGCTCCCACAGTGTTGTTAGGGGAATGACAATGATAATTTTGTTCCATAAAGGGCTCCTAAGCTCTTTCTCTGCTTCAAAATGACAGTCAACTGAAACTTCAAAATGAAGGAATTCACAAAAAAAAAAAAAAAAAATCACATTTTCTGTTCAGTTTTTATTAACACTTTGGAAATGAGATTGATCACTTATTTGTGGATGAAGCTTTGGCTGATCAGATTTAAAATATTTTATCTTCCATTAAAATTTTGGTTTCAGTTCATTTGTTTTTTTCATAAATACTTGATTCTATGTATCTACTTTCCCCAAGCCTCTCAAATTTCAATTAGACAAGGCCTTTTTGGCAGAGTATGGTTCTAAGTGTCACTGTTTTTATTATGTACAGCTCACAGACCACTTAAGTCAGACTATGGAAGAGACTTACTGGTCTCACAAGTCACACTTACTTCAAACAGCTCAGGCTACCTGTGACAGATTTAATCACAACTTGCAATAATAAGGTGAAATGCATCCATTTTTTAGTTACAGTTGAAACTCCTCAGCAGAAAGATCATGTTTTATCCATTAAAGTTTATGCATTCATGAATCTACTTAATATTAAAGTCATTTTTTAAAAGCTTATATCAAATTAGAGATGAACTTGTAATGTACCCAGAGACACTCAAACTAACGTATTCTAAGTTTGGATGGGCTACGAATAGCCCCTGGTTTAAGAATTCACTTTCTGTCTGCCAGAAGCTGCTTTTTGGCATTTTCCTTAGCCCATCCATTGAAAGCTTGTTCTAGTATTGAGAGTGGTTGCTTAAGAAGATGACTGATGATTCCCTGAGAAAGTTGCTAGTTTTTTTTTCCTGCATTTTATTTGATGAAATACAGATTTACATCTAAACTCGGACTAAGCATTAGGCTGGAATTTGGAGGCCATCTTTTCATCCTTTGGGCCATTAGGTCTTACCTGATGAAACCCTAGTCC